AAGATGAAGCAGTCTGCTTCTATATCTGGTGAGCTTGAACTGCTGACCTTGCAGTTCAAACGGCTTTGCAGTCTGGCGCATTAACCCACAGCGCCACACCAGGAGTCTTGGTAGCATAGTTCATTACAAATAGGGCTGCTAATCTCAAGGCCAGCAGTTTGAATCTACCATCAACTCCATGGGAGAAAGATGAGGCTTTCTACTCTCATAAAGATTTCTGATCTTGGAAACCCTATACAGGATCACCAGTAATCAGAAAGTGACTTAATGGCACACAGCAATATATTGGCATTTTATGTTTGTATTAGAATGCATAAAGATTGATATCCTAGGCATTAATGAGCTAAAATGGACTGGTATTGGCCATTTTGAATTAAAAAATCACATGGTTACTGAGAATGTCTAATTGAAGACATATGGCGTTGCATTCATGGTCAAAAAGAACATTTCAAGATCTGTCTTAAAGTACAGTGTTGTCTGTGATAGAATAATAGGCATATACCTACAAGGAAGACAGACTAGTTAATACCATTATTATTCAAATTTATGTACCAACCACTAAAGCCAGTGATGGTGAAATTAAAGAATTCTATCAACTTCTTCAGTCTGAAACTGACCAAACATTCGATCAAGATGCATTGATAATCGCTGGTTATTGGAATGAGAAAGTTGAAAACAAAGAAGAAAGATCAGTAATTGGAAAATATGGCCTTGGTAATAGAAATGATGCTGGAGATTGCATGATAGAATTTTGAGAGATTAATGACTTTATCTGCAAATGCCTTTTAAAACAACACAAAAGGCGACTGTATGCATGGACCTCTCCAGATGGAATACACAGAAATCAAATTGACTATGTCTGTGGGAAGAGACAGTAGAAAAACTTCATGTCGTCAGCCAAAACAAGGCCAGCGGCAGACTGTGGAACAGACCATCAATTGCTCCTATGCAAGTCCAGGCTGAAGATGAAGAAAATTAAAACAAGTCCATGAGAGCCAAAATAAGACCTTGAATATGTCCCACCTGAGTTTAGACACCATCTCAAAAACAGATTTGATTCATTAGACAGTAATGACTGAAGACCAAAAGAATTGTGAGGTGATATCAAGAGCATCATACAGGAAGAAAGCAAAAGGTCATTAAAAAGACAGTAACGAAAGAAAAAACCAAAATGGATGTCAGAAGAGACTCTGAAACTGGTTCTTGACCATAGAGAATCTAAAGCAAATGAAAGAATTAAAGCTGAAGAGAAATTTTCAAAGGGTAGTTCAAGAAGACAAAAGAAAGTATTATAATGAAGTGAACAAAGGCCTGAGTTAGAAAACCAAAAGAGAAGAACCTGCTTGTGCAGTGTTCTTAAGGTGAAAGAAATGGAGTAAAATCCAAGTCTCAAGTTGCAATATTGAAGGACTCCATGGGCAAGATATTGAATGATGCTGAAAGCATCAAAAGAAGGTGGAAGTAATGCACAGACCCACTGTATAAAAAAAAGAAACAGTTGATGTTCAACCATTTCTGGAGGTGTGAAACATGATTAAGATCTGATGTCACAGAAGGAAGAAGGCCAAGCTGAACTGAAGACATTGGATAAAAACAAGACTCCTGCAATTGACAGAACACAAATTGAAATCTTTCAACTAACTGATGCAGCATTAGAGGTGCTCACTTGTCTATGTCAAGAAATTTGGAAAACAACTACCTGATCAGCCGATTGGAAGAGATCCACATTTGTGCCCATTCCAAAGAAATATGACTCCACAGAATGCAGAAATCATTGAACAATGTGATTAATAGCACAAGCAAGTGAAACTTTGCTGAAAATAATTTTAAAACTATTACAGCAATACATCAATAGTGAGCTGCCAAAAAAATCAAGCCCAATTCAGAAAAGGAAGTAGAACTAAGGATATCATTGCTGATGTCAGATGAATCTTGGCTGAAAGCAGAAAATACCAGAAAGATGTTTCCTGTGCTTTATTGACTATGCAAAGACTTTCAGCTACGTGGATCATGAAAAGCTATGGATAACATTGCAAAAGAATGGGTATTCCAGAACACTTACGTGTGATCCTGAGGCATCTGTACATAGACCAAGAGGCAGCCATTAAAACAGAACACAGGGATACTGAATGAGGAAAGGTGTGTGCCAGGGTTGTATCCTTTCACCATATTTATTCAAGCTGTATTCTAAGCAAATAACCCAAGAAGCTAGATTATATGAATAACGAGGCATCAGGATAGGAAAAAGACTCATCAACAACCTCTGATATGTAGATGATACAGCATTGCTTGCTGGAAACAAAGAGGATTTAAAATGTTTTCTGATGAAGATCAAAGACCACAGCCTTCAATATGGCTTGTACCTCAATACAAAGAAGACAAAAGTACTCACCAATGGGCCAATAAATAACATCACGATAAATGGAGAAAAGATGCAAGTTGTCAAAGACTTCGTTTTGCTTGGATCCATAATTAGCACTCATAGAAACAGCAATCAATAAATCAACCACTGTACTGCATTAGGCAAAACTTCTGTATGAGAATTCTTTAAAGTGTTCTAGAGCAAAGATGTTCGTTTGAGGACTAAAGCGCACCTGACCCAAGCCATGGTATTTTCAATAACCTCATATGCAAGTGAGAGTTGGACAGTGAATAAGGAAGACTGTAGAAGAATTGATACGTTTGTGCTATGGTGTTAGAGGAGAATATTGAAAGTGTCATGGACTGCCAAAAGAACAAACAAATCTTTGTTGGAAGTAACAACCAAAATGCTCCTTATAAGCCAGGATGGCCAGACTTTGTCTCTCATACTTCGGACATATTATCAGGAGAGACCAACCCCTGGAGAAGGACATCATGTTTGGTTAAGTGGAGGGTCGACGAAACAGAGGAAGACAACCAACAAGATGGATTGGCGTAGTGGCAGCAGCAGTGGGCTCAGATGTAACATCGATTGTGAGGTTTCTGCAGGACTGGGCAGTGTTTCCTTCTATTGTGCATAGGGCCACTATGAGTTGGTACTGACTTAATGACACCTAGCAACAACAACATATACATGTGAAAGTTGGACAGTGAATAAGGAAGACTGTAGATGAGTTGAGGTATCTGAGTTATCATATTGGAGAAGAATATTAAAAGTACCATGGACGGCCAGAAGAATAAACAAATCTGTCTTGAAAGAAACATAGCCAGAAGGCTCCTTAGAAGCCTGAATGGCAAGGTTTTGTCTCTCATACATCAGACATGTTGTCAGAAAGGACCAGTCCCTGGAGAAGGAACTCATGCTTGGTAAAATGTGGTCTCTGGAAAAGAGGAAAACCCCCAAAGGAGATGGAATGACACAGTGGCAGCAGCAATGGGCCCAAACTTAATAATTGTGAGGATGGTGCAGGACCAGGCGGTGTTTCATTCATTTTTAAATAGAGTTTATGTGAGTCGGAAGCTCCTCAATGAAATGTATCATCAACAACAACAATCTACTGAAAGTTGCTGGAACTAAGCTTATTAGAACCATATCCTAGGAAAATAGATTGTGGGAGGCTCCCCTGAGTAAAGTACGTGAGGCCATTGCAGTGCTTATGGCAATAGGTCTTCTCGGTAAACCTTCCTAGTTCTGGGCAGGTGAGCTTGCTGTAGGGGCTGCTGGTAGATAAGTAAGGTGTGACAGCTCTGACCATGTGGGCTGGGGTAAGGGTGGGCAGTGGGTGTCCACCTCCTGTGTCTGAGGCTTCCCCTCCATTGCTTTCTCCCTCGTCCTTTCTGTTCCAGCAGACCCGATTGCTTTTAGTTTCCATCTCACAACAAGCTGTCTAGGCCCCCAAGCCTTTGCTCCTGCTGTTCCTTCAGCCTGGATTCCCCTTATCCCTACTCAACCATCTTGTCACTGATTCCCCAGTGATGGAGTCCTGCTGTGGCATCACACGTTAAGCACTGGACTGCTGACTTCAAGTTCAGCACTTCAAACCCACCAACCATTCCTTAGAAACTCTACACAAGGGTCTCTATGAGTTAGAACTGACCCAAAGGCACTTCACAACAACTAGCCTACACTGGTGCCACTCTGGTATCTCCGTAACGGTTCTTTCTGCATTAAGTTGTGTCATGGGTTTTTGTATCTGTCTCCTTTCTCTAAAATGAGATTTTCTACATGGCAAATACCATGACCCCTGGGATCTCATACAATACCTTGGACAGAGTAGACTCAACAGGTGTTCACCTGATCCATAGCATAATCTGGTGCCAGAAAGGCTAAATGGTACATCCAGATCTTACTTACCGTATTTATCTCATACCTAGCCTTGATACCTGGTCTGGTTCTCTGCCTAGTAGACCAAACTACATATATGTGTGAATATAAATGGAAACTATAGGTCCTGGTGTGCCGCTGTGGGATAAAGCACCAGACCACAAGGTCAGTGTTTCAAACTCACTAGCTACTCCTTGGAAACCCTATAGAGGGGTCACTATAAGTCTGAACCAACTCATATTAAGCAACAACAACATAGGTCATTAAGAACGTCTTTGTCTATAGGAAGCCAAAGATCCAACTGAATGAAAAAGGCAACCTTCTTGATATTTCAGGTCACTAATACATCTGGGTGGGTGAACTGGTCACTCTCTGTCTAGCAGGTTGGATCAGGCCTTTGTCTTTGGGAAAAGAGCAGTAAGTGTCTTTAGGTTCTCTTTTGCTCAGCACTTAACTACAGATACCCGATAGGAGTTGGCAACCAGGAAGGTCTGAGTACAAACCTTTTAAATATCCATGAGAGATATATCTCAGTAGTAAACTGCATGTGCCTCTCCTGGAAAAATCCAGAGGGTTTTGCCTCAGCAGGGAAGGAAAATCCAACCCAAGATGCATGAACAATAAATAACAACTGTTCTGAGTTAGGTTGAAAGCTCCGAGTTGCAGTTTTTTTTTTGTGTGTGTGTGTGTGTGTTTTTTTTTCAAGTTGTTTGTGCTAACCACATTTTTTTCCTCTCTCCCCGTTTCCCACCAGGGCTTATTTCAAAACCTTTGTCCCTCAGTTCCAGGAGGCGGCATTTGCCAATGGAAAGCTCTAGGAAACACCAGTCTGAGAGATGGCCAGACAGTCTGCTCTGTCCACATGCGTGTCAGCACACACAGCTGCTTCCTGGAAGCCACTTGGAAGGTCTTTATGGTGGCTCTTTGTTCACACAGCAGCTTGGCGCACCCAAGACAGTCCCATGTCTGGCTGGCAGTAACTCCAATCCTAGAGCCCTCACCTCTGATTGCTTCTTCTTTCTTTCTTTCATTATATTTTTTAGTTAGAAGAAATAAAATCACATATGATGCAGTATTTTTCCATGGAAAGCAAGACATCTTAACGAACACACCCGTATTCCAAAGCCCTCTGTCTCCGAGATCTTGTTTAAATTTTAAGATTAAACATCCATTTGCTTATCCCCCCCCCGCCCCCGAAACTAGTGTCTTCTGTGTGTGTGTGTGTGTGTGTGTGTGTGTGTGTGCATTTTACCTTCTGACATTTCCCACTGGGGGCAGTCCTCCATTGAGAAAAGACTTTGCCTGAACAAATCTGACCAACCTACAGGTATCAGCCACCTAGCGAGGCTTAGGGAACAAGTGGGTTCTAGCACAGATCTTCCCACCCAACCCTGAAAGCAGCTGGTTGTGTGCACGGTGGGCCAGGCCCAGCCTGACACAGTGTTTGCCAATTATGCCAGTAAATTTGTCTTGCCCACTCTCCCCACCACCACTTTCTAGACCCATAGGAGAGCTTTTAGGGATTATACAGCATTGTGGAAAGTATATTTGAAAGACAAAGATCAGGTACTATGGGTATTTCTGATATCTGGGCTCAGACCTGCCAGCTCTGCAGCCAACAGCCATCCAGGGACAGAGTTAGGGAATAGACCTTGAGAGGCTTCATTTCTCCTAGATTTACAGATTGTCAGAAGCAGAGAGGCCTCAGTAGGCATCTCATGTCCACCAGCACCCCCATGCCCTTTGGTGTACAGAAGAGAATTGACCCGATTAAAGAAATTCTCACAGCAAATTAAGAGCAAACATGGAAATTGGAATCGAGGTCTCTTCAAACCACCAGACAGCTTCTCTTAACTTACATCCCAGTGACTGGCAGTCAGCTTGACGAATTAGAGTAAGATTTACCATTTGGTTTAACATTGTTTTACTCCAAGGATTTTCAGCATAGGGAAGTAGGACATGCCCACTAAGGTGAGAGAAGCAAGCCCAGACCTGAGTAGGGTGCTCTCTTATACCCACTTGCTCCCCCATTGGAAGGTGAAGCCATAGGCCCCACCTACAAGGCAGGCACACTGTGGCTCTGGAGCCTAGATTTGCCATGTGTTATGTGTGGATTGTTATGAATCCTAACCCCTTTTCCTGTAGATATAAAACCATTTTGGAATGACGTTTCCCTTGTTATCTGTAGGGTGTGTCGTAAACCAAACCACTTTTGAGATATAAAGGAGCAAACTAGTCATAGAAGCAAGCAAGCACAAATGGGGGTAGATAGATGCCACATGGAGACCGCCCGGGAACCCCGAACACTGAGAAGAATGCTAGAGAAGCTAAGACAAGGACCTTCCCTCAGAACCAACAAAGAAAGCCTTCCCCAGAGCCACTGGCCTGAATTCAGACCTTGAAAATGAAATTCCTCTTTGTGAAGACCACCCACCTGTTGTTACAGAAGCACTAAAAACTGACACACGATGTGAGCCTGAAAAGGAACCCGTTCCGGGCCCTCAGAGGATAATGCTCCTTCCTCCTGTGTTCCCCAGTCACCAGGAATATACAGGCCTGCCTACCTGCCAGACGGTTGCCCGATTAGGGGTTCTTTCACCCTGTGGTACTTTGTTCCTTGTCCTAAAACCCTGGAAATCCCAGTACAGAACATAATCCTGTGCCCTGTGTCTAAAGCCTAGCTCTGCCACGAACTCATGTGACCTTGGACAGGTCCCTTCCTCTTTTAAAGACAAGGGGGGCAGGGGGGGTGGGGTGGTGCTGGATGAAAATGGTGGATTCAACTCATCAGAATCACCTAGGGGTTTTTTTAAGAAACACTGTTCTGGTCCCTGCAGCTAGCCTGCTGACTTGGAATCTCTTTTAACTGGGCTGGGCATCTCAATTTTATTTTGTAAAACTCCCCAGATACTCTGTTGAGAATGTGTTCATGACCCCCGGGACCAGCTGAGCACTCTGAAGTCTTCCTGACTGATTGTCCACAGGTGGGTGTCCTTCTACCTCAGGGCAGCTCCTCTCTCTGCTGGCCCTCTCCCTGAAGCTCTTGACATGGTTACTTGTAATTGCTGTGGCCTCATGCCCTCTATGGAGAGGCACAAACTGTACTGTGCAGCTCAGAGTCATGAATGAACTGAGTCAGAGCTTGCTGTAGACCCAGGAAGTGTTTCAGCACCAGTTCTACAGAGGGTGGCTGGAAGTTGGGGGTGGGCAGTGGTAATGGGCTGCAGTCACATGGATTGGGCCTTTGTCATTGCAGATAGCCACTCAGAACTGATGGTAGCCAGTAGTAGGCAGTGTGGTCCTGCCGCTGCCAACCTTTGCTGTTGTTACGTGCTATCGAGTCAGTTCTGACTGTGGTGCTGTAGGATAAGCACTGCAAGGTCAGCAGTTCAGACTCATCAGCTGCTCGTTGGAAACCTGCCCACCTTTAGAGGTCTGCATACTCCCAGCTGGTCAGATAATGAGCCATCCTCTAAGTGGGAAGTGCTATCTCATAACTTTATTTCAATGGATCTTTACAACAGACCAGTGAAGTCAGCAAATGAGAAGGCTTCCTCCTGTACCCCAGGTGAGGAAACAGGATCAGAGAGGTTAAGTTATATATGATTACAAGCTAGTAAGTGCTCCTGCCTCAGATCCAGGGCTTTCTCTCATGTTCACAACTCCAGTAAGCAGTTTTTGTTTTTCCACCCCCTGGTGAAGGATATATTGTACTGTGCATTGGTTTGTAAGGTTGAAAATTAAATAGTTTTTGTTGTTACTTTTGAAGATTTTCAACCCCTTACCATACTCAAGCGTGGCAACAGTGGTGAGATTGGCCCAGGATCGGGCAGTGTTTTGTTCTGCTGTGCATAAGGTCGCTATGGGTTGGTACCAACTCGATGGCACCTAACAACAACAACAACAACCGTAGTAGCGTAGTTGGCAGGGGCAGAACCACACTGCCTATAGCACAGTTTGTTGGGCTGCTAACCACAAGATCTAAGTTCGAGTCTACCAGGTGCTCTGTGGGAGAAGGATGAGGCCTTCTGCTCCCACAAAGATTTACGGCCTCAAAAACCCTATTCAGGGGCCTATGAGTTGGAACCGAGTCCACAGCACAGCATCACCACCACCACAGTTAGTCATGGGGTAAAGTGGGATGATAATAGTCACTTCATGATTCAGTCCATGTGATTTCATCTCTGCCCCCGACAGCAACACATGCCACCAGAAGCAAGTGGTGCTTATAAATGGGCAAAGGTCACCTGTGTATTTTAAACACTTCTTGCTGCCCAGTCTATCAGCCGGCATTGTACCTGCACATTGAGTGCAGCGCAGGACTAATTAGTAAATGGCTATAAGATGCTTTGAAGATGAAAGGTACCATATATGAGAGCACATTATTATTACCTCATAAATCCTGTCTCCAGCTTACTCAACCCTTGTAATTTAAGTTGAATCTTGAGCCAGCACAGACAAGGAAAAGGACTCAGAAGTGTTTACTAATAATACTTGGATGCAATCAGGAATCTCCTCTGGGGCCAGTCTCCAGTCTTCTCCCAGCAACTCGGTTTCCTGAGGACCCACCACCTACAGGCACATGGTACTCTCTATTAGAGAGAACCTAGTTCCTTCTGCTGTGGCCCTGCGGGTTAATGTGCCAGACTGCAAAGCCGTTTGAACTACAAGGTCAGTGGTTCAAGTTCACAAGCTAGTCCTCGGAAGCCCTATATAGTGTCACTATGGGTCAGAACCGACTCAACGGCACTTAACAACAACAAAGTTCCCTCTGGGGACATGAGCTGGAAGGAGGTTGAGAAAGACCTGCATGTAAATCTTGGGGGCTGAATGTGAATCCTGGCTCTGCCCACTTAGTGACAGGTCAATATTTAACAATCAGTTCTCCAGTGGTTAAAAAATGAAAAGACCCCTGAGTTGTAGTGTTTGCCAATTCCCATGGTGTACACACTCCCACTAGTACCTATTTTAAGCTAGTAACATGAGGTCAGAGTCTCTGGGAGGTGCAAATTGTTAACACCTTTGAATACTAACTGAAAGGTTTGAGTCCACAGGGGCTATCTGGGAAGAAAGGCCATGTGATCCGCTTCTATAAAACCAGTCATTGAGAACCCTGTGGGATACAGCCTGCTCTACATACACAGGGTTGCGTGAGTTGGAATCAGTAACAACTGGTTTACTGGTGCTGTGAGGCCACAGGGTGTACAGCTGGGAAAAGCCAAGCTTTTGCTGTGAGTCCCTGCTATAGAAACCAGCTCTAGCTTCTGACTTCAGGCAAGTTACTCAGTCTCTCTCTTCAAGATTTGTTTTCCGCATCTGTAAAATGGGAGTCCTGGTGCGGTGCTGTGGGTTAATGCGCCAGACTACAAAGCCATTTGAACTGCAAAGTTGATGGTTCAACCTTACCAGCTGCTCCTCGGAAACTCTATACAAGGTTGCTATGGGTTGGAACCAACTTGATGGCATTTAATAATAACAACAAAGTGGGAATAAATCCTGCCTCCCAGAGTTATGAGAATTAAATTAGGAAAGTGCATAAAACACCAAGTACAGTGTTGGGCTTGTAGTAACATGTGATAAATAGTAGCAACTATTATTGCAGATCAGGAAAAAGGATTTTTTGATGTTGACTTTGGCCTTTCTTTAAAAAGTCAGAATGCCCTGTTAGAAAGTCCTGCCAATAAATGTGGCCTTTGGGAGAGTGACTTTTTCTGGACTACCAGGAAGACAAAAATGATGTGTCATCTTGATTTTAATGAATAAAAGATTAGATGTGTTTGTGGGAGTCCCCCTACCCCTCACACTGAGTCTTGCTTGTAACTCTGGGCCAGACGTCAGATTCTGGGCAACATTAAGCACTGACACCCAGTGACCTGTTAGCTCGCCTGACCCAGGCTTCCCACAGGCGGCAAAATCAGCAGCACACTTCACGTTTGCCTCTGACTCAAAGTTTCGGTTCCTGACCACTATAGACTCTTGTTTTAGAGTCACGGCCTTGCGAGAGAAACAACCTCATTTGGTTTGTTTCTTCTCGGGCCTATGAATAGACCTAATCCCAGATCCTGTCCCAGTTCATGGGGACTGCCCATCTTCTTAATGTGAATTTGAAAACATCATCTGATGGGAAAGTGAAGTCCAGTTGTATCAGTAGCATCGTAGCTAATC